GCCCAGACCTTTGCGATATAAGCCTGTTGCGCTTTCTATGTATCGTTAAGGCACTAAAACGCACGGGAAATGACTAAATGCTCGCAATGTTGTCGCGTAGGATTGGGAGGCGAGTTGGGTGGCTCCTGCTTCACAATGTTAAGACGGCCATGAGCGTGACATCACACATCAGTGAATTTCGTGGTTTGCAACCAGATGTAATAGAGAGAATGTGACGGGCGCTCTTTGATTTCAAAGTATTTTCATATAATGCCAGGGGCGCCCAAAGAAGACAAGAGGCCTGAGGCAATAGACCCATGGGGCCCTTAATATCCAACAAAAGTTCCCCTTATTTTCTGTTGTATTATTACTATTATTAATAATAATTATTAATATATTTTAAAATGAATCATATTTCACAGTTGTTTTTTTCAAAATAGGTATTGACGGATTTACATTTTGTATAAATTTTCAGGGCTCCACTTAAGTCGGGGCTGGGGTAAGTTGCCCCAGCTGTCCCCGCCCTCTTAGCAAGCAAAATATCCCTGCAGCAATTTCTCGATTAATGAATGACATTAAATCGAAGACTCTTCTAATATGTATTTTAGGATTATCTGGGGAATTGTGCAGTCATTCCACCTAAGCACGTGCGACCAGAGAGTATTATATCAGAGACGGCACTTAACGTTAATCTCAACCAAAGACCCTGTTTCTAGGAGCAGTTGGTCAGCTTAAACTCCCGATAAAGAGAAAACTTTTTGAACTAGTGTATCCGGCATGCTTCACTATTGCAATATATTATTACACTACACACGCTACTGGTCAAGGGATTGTTAATCACGTTTTACGTTAGGCTCTGCAAACATTTTAATAGATGTAATACTTTCTCGCGAGTATGGGTTTGTTTTAAGTCCTGGTTTGGGCATGGTTGTCAAGCATCTTATTGTTAAAACGTTCTCCGTCAAGTCAAGGCAGTAGTGCCGTAGTGGTCTCGGACTAGAAGAGCGAGACCCGCCTAGGGCAGAGGTGTATTTGTGTTTGTATGTGTACGTCGTCCTCTTACCCCTCACTATCATTTCATCTTCCATACCCCCAGGGCTAAAAACCCTGGGGGATAAAAAATCAAATCCAACTAAATGCAAATCCCCCTGATAAAAAAAAATACATGCACCTACCACAAAGAGGTGCATGCACACGTGGTTCAAGTCGGCCTCTACGGGAAAACACAAAACAACCCTAAATAATAATCACTTTCTCCGATTGATAACTCGTCAACCAAACAGTAAACACGCCCTACGCGGCTTTTGTGCGAGTGGAAACCGGAGTCTTTCGGGCGGGCAGGCAACAATTTGCTGGTCAACGCACAACGCGCATGCGTCAAATACGGCCACAGTATGCCACTGTTCCACGATCACTCTAGGACCTTTGAACGTTTTCTCAAAATACGGTGCAAACCGAGGCAGCGCCGGGGCGTGCCTGAAGAAGTGCAAGCGGGGCCTGCCTCTGCGGGAAGAAACGAGACACATACATGGCGTACTTACTGGTAGAAAACGCTAAAACTGGAAATATGGCCCGAGTCACGATAATGAAATGTTCATTATACATTTTCAGGTGAATAATAATTGCATCCTATTCAAATTGAGACGGTTATTTCATTATTTTGTTATTGTGAAATATATTAAACTGGTGACATATTCATCAGGGCAGGCGGCGGTGTCAATCTTGCTCACCCCAAGGAGTCGCCCCTGCTGCTCTGGCATTCGTCTGACACTGATCAGAGAAAAAACGGAAAACTAGAGAAAAGACCTATCAGAGCAGCCAACGGCAAAACCCGTCCAGATAGCGGCTGAATTCATCGTTGCTGTATAGCTCGGGTAGAAAATCCACCACCGTCGCAAGTCCATTCCAAGACCTCACTCTCCGAGTCGCCGCAAAGTTAAAGAAGCTATAGCTTAGGTCCTCAGAGTCCAAGAGGCCTCAAATATTATTATTCAAAATTGCTGATTATCTAAAACATTTTATTAAAATATACTTATATAAATTTATAATTCGTATCTGTAAAGAAATAAAAATTAAATACATTCGATAAACATGCTTTTGGAGTTAATAACAGATTTATTCTAAGACCGACATTTTTGTTCCAAATCATTACGATTTGAACTTAAATGCATGACAAAATCCGACACCCATGTTCTGATCGAAACACACTCTTTTCTTTTACCCAATGTTTAGCATTTTCGACCACAAACATTGAGATTTGAGTGATAAATTGGGGTTGCCTTTCAAATATACATTATTTTAACTTTAATGATTATAAAATGTACAGGTAAATATCATTGAGTCAACTTAAAAAGGTTGAAAACTAGGATCTAGCTAAATGACAAGACAAACTCAATCACTAACAATAATATTCAGTCACAACAATAAGTTCTGAGATTTCTAACTTAAAACGATACTAATTCTAATTTTGTGAACCAAAAATAAAGTAAACAGCATTTTTAGTCAGTTTTTTTCATTTTTAATGATTAATATAGTGTTGAATTCTATATATGATTAATATAGTGTTGATGATATAATGCAGCTAGTTAGACAGATACTATGTTACAGAAATTTTTTATCAATTTAAAATTTGAATAAAACTATTATTTGAAGACATGTTTCAAAGATGTTTTAGCTTGGGGCCTAGAAATTGGTAAATTCGCCACTGCTCTGAACTAAAACTCACGCAAAAAGGAGGGGGCACAAAAGAGATGAGGTAAAACATAAATAGAGAGGTATCAATTTCAAACAAATAAACCTTTAAAATGTACAACACTGGTATCCAGTCTGACCAATTCTGAAATACACCATCAAGTGAACCCCATTTATGAGGGGTCCCATTTTGATCTGGTGCCCATGGAGCAGAAACTCAATTTTTCTGATACCTATTTTATTTCCACGCAGGCTCTACAATAATTACCCTGATTGTCCTGAACTACTGTCACAGATTAAAAATACCCATCACTATCTATCTGATATACTTCATGCTGGTACCTTTTTCCAAAAAACGTCTTGATAATGACACACAGAAGAACTGTAAGAAGGAATCATATTTTTGCAGTCTTTAAACCTCTTCAATATATTAACAAAAGTGTTTAAAGTCAATTTGAAGATAATGATTAAAACCTATGGGTTGAAATTTTTCATCTAGCTGATGGCCCTTGTTTCCCCATAACATTTTGTTGTTATGATAACAACATAAAGAGAAGAATTAACAATTTTTGTCTATTTAAACTACCAATTTGTAATCAGGATTGATGTAAAGGTAAGGATTCCATGTATCACAAAATAAGTAAATAAAAGATACTGAAACCATTAAAAAAATTGATGTTATAATAAAAATTAAGGGAAAAAACAACAACAAATAAATACAACTAATAATCAGAACCAAATAGTTATACCAAATAAATTACCAAATAAAAAAAAGGAGGGGGGAATAATACCTCCTCATTCTTCAAAGCTATCAAACTCTTCAAACTCATAAGTTTTGAATTTACATCATGTACTTGATTTTTATTTTCAGTACACTCACTATCTTCTATAGTATGGGCCAGCTTTTCCTGCACAAAAATAAAAAGATGTCAGAAATCCTACAAAAGTACAAATAGAATTGTTTATTCATCAACTCAGTTTTCTTAAGTAGTGGTTCATGAACAAATGTCCAACAAATGTCCTGGGTAGGCAAAACATCACATATGTAATTCAGTGAATCTTAAACACCTGAAAAAAATGTTAATGTGATTTCTTAATTATTGTTCATATTATTGAAACTTGCAACTCCTTTTTAGAACCACAGAATTGAAAAGCAGCAGATCCCGGGAAGAGGGTATGTAGTCCACACCCCACCTCAATCCAATTTTTGTAATTGTATTCAATTTATTCATACAATTGTCTCCCTGATAGCTTTACATTCCAAAGCATTATTTCCACGAAGCACGAGCAGATGTGATTTAAAGATACACAGGTTTTAAAAAGGAGTTGCGAGTTTTTGTTGCTCTGACAATAATTCAGAAATCACATTTTTCAGGTGTTAAAGATTCACTGAATTACATATGTGATCTTTTGTCATTTCATATCTTTGATAAAGTATTTATGACAAAATATCCATCTCTATTCCAGGGGTGGATCCAGAGACAAATTTGGGGAGGGGAAAACCAAAATGTTTTGGTCAAAATGTCATATTACAGACTTTGTAATATGTCTCAGGCTACACGCGCTCATGCTGTGATATTCATATGATATTCATGCTGTGATTTTTATTCATTTTAATGATTGACTAAAAATATTTTTGCTTGAAAGTTTCATTACAAGTTAAAATTAATAGTTACTGAATAATTTAGGAGGGGAAATTTCCCTTTTTTTACTCCCCATGGATCTGCACCTACTATTCCAAGTACTCTCCTTAATTGTCAATAAACAACATGGGCAACAATAAACCTTAGCTTTAAATTCACTACCTGTTAGCCAGTTGTGTGAATCATACCACAAAGAACTGAATTTTCTTGAATTTTTCAAGTCAATACAATACTCAGAATACGATTAGGTTGACCATTATCCAAAATTTGACTCTTTTCTACATCGTTAAGATGAGAAAACATTGTACATAGTAGTTCATGCACTGTATCTGTAATATTACTACTGTAAAACCAGATTTAATATAAAAAATCGAGTAATAATAATTCGCAGCATACTAATTTAAAATAAAAAAATTCATTCTTCCTAAAAATAATCACTTTCTCAACTTGTTAACTCATCAACAAAGCAGTAAACACATGCCCTATGTGACTTTCATGCGAATGGAATCAGTCTTCCATGCAGGCACGCAGCAACAGAATTCACTAGCCAACATGCAACATGCATGCATCAAGTAAAGACACAGCATAGTACTGTTCTATGCTCACTACAGACCCTTTACTCAGAATACAGTGAGAAGCGAGGCAGTACCCATGTGTGCCTACCCTTAGATGTTTCAATATCATTTACCAGATTACCTTGCTAGGCTGCATGAATAAATTCTCCAGCTGATCTAAAGCAACTTGTAATTTCATTTCTACATTTCTATTTCTCAACTTTGCTTCATTAAGGCGTTGGCATAAATGGTAGAGGGCATTGGCCATCTCTCTTTGATAATGAAAGAGAACTTCCCTGTGATTCTCTTCCAAAGTATCTTTACTACTTTGCACATCTGCAAGTCTAAGAGAGAAACAAAATTTTTTAAAATTTACTTTTTATCCACTAAAACTCTAAATTATAACTTGTGCTACATTAAATAAATTCACATTTACAAAGATAAATTTTAATAACTACACCAGTGGATACTGAGAAGTAAAATATATATTCACAATTCAAAGGTATTTTCTCAAATTTATTATATACATCAGAAAGACTATTACTTACTTTGCTTTCAAATTACTTATTTCTTCAACTAACGAATTCCAATCACAATTATCACATTTTTCTTGTTCTCTAGATCTTTGTAAGTTTTCCAAATTCTTTTGTAAATTTGTATTTTGGTTCTGAAATGTAATAACAATTCTCTCAACTAAAAGAGTAGAAATGCAAAAATGCACATGACAGAAATTTCAAATTTTCAGTTTTGGAGACCAACAATGAAATTAGTTAAGTGTTAAATTAGGTGGCTATACCAAAGCATTCCTCTTAATCCCAATTTCCAGAAGCAGACCATTATTTTTCATCTCTAATAAAGAGTTTTAAAGTCCTCATCTGAATACAATACCTGGCCATTAAAGTCATTAGTAATCAATAACCATTTTTATGATCCACCAAGCTAAAATTGTTTCAAATTATTGTTGAAGAGAGATGTAATATCCACTTTTAATAATAGGTCACTTCAAAATGGAACATGAATTTCAGAAGACCCCAAATCCAAAGAATATCTAAATACAAGTAAAATATTAAACATTTTTAATATTTAACTTATGTTTAGATATTCTTTGGATTTGGGGTGTTCTGAAAAAATCTGTCTATAAATGTAAGACACTGTTTGACAAGTGTTTTCACTTCTTGTTATTTCCCCTCAACTCAATTTTGGAAATACAATGTTAATTACATTGGAGAGTATATTATACAATGTTAATTATCTGCAGCTAAAGAAAACATCTGCATATTATACTTTTTCTCCATATACTGTGCATGTTTCTTTACTATTTTTTATTTAAACAATTATTATTTTCCCACACTCCTCTCTTTCCAATTTCTATCACATTAAAATATTCTTCAAAACTCTCACGCAACTCTTTATTCTTAATAGCCAGGAAATTGAATATTCAATTAAAAAATATCAGAAAAGAAAAAAAGTAAAGAATAACTGCAAACTAACCTTTAATTCTTTTATCCGCAATTTCAGAACTGAAATTTTCTTCTCATACATATTTTCCAACTGGATAATTTTATTCATTCCCTCTTCCTGAAACAAATTATAAACACTCAAATAAATATGTACCTTATTTTCAATATAAAGGTTACTTACAATTTAACCGAAATGATACTTTGCATGGAACTTTCCAGAAATAAAAGAATGATTCTTCAGAAAAAACAAACAGATTATTTAACAACTCTGCTAACATACATTTGGAGTTTGTGAAGTAAGAAAAAATGTCAGCGCTTGTTTGTAACGATTAATTACAGCTTGGTCAGCAGCTATACGCTCTTCATACTGTTGCTGCAATTGTAACCACTCGCCATGTTCAGTCTGCATCTCAGACACATCAGTCAAACTTGCTGCAGCTGACAATTTACTTTCTTCTTCTGTATCGTGGTACAGCTGACATAGTGTAGTAACAGACACATCACTTTGTGATGAATCATCTTCTTGATAGGGAGTATCATCCTGGTGTGGGAAAACAGAAATTCTTTCCAAAATTAATTTCCATCTAGAAACAAGATTCAACTGATATACAATATACCACCTCATTTTAATACTCCAATATTAGATCACTTGACAAGCAATCAGATGAACAGAGAACGATAAATTACATTGGGATGAAATACCACAAACATGAAACTTACAAATTCATTGTAAACGGCTGGGATAAATGGAGCTAAGGTACCATCAGAAGGTGGATAATTAAATGGAGGATTCAAAATTCCAGCTTCTACTTGACATCGCAATTCACTAACATACACATTTCTCATAACTTTTTCCTCTGCAGAACAAGCGTTCAACCTTTCTAGCCATAGTCGACAAAGATTCGCATCTGAATAAACATTTAATTATACCTTTTAAACAAACACTTTTACTCTCCATTTTATTTTGATATAGGTTAACACGTGTAATAACCTTTTATTGATTTTATGCTGCAAACATGAGGACGAATCAATGCAAGATTATCCTTGAATATTTCATCAAGTTTAACTCCTTCCACTTCATCTTTTTCAGATGGCATTGCTCTTTAAAATATTTTAGTTTAATTTACTAATAAAATGCCTTAGCAGATGAACACATAAGATAGTTTAGGATTATTGTAGTTGTACAGATATCATTGATCCTAGAAAGTATAATTTATTAATAGTAACCAAGCAACCAAACATAAAACAGTCTTTAAAAGTTGGAGCATAGATAACTAATATCCATCTTCATTATCAAACTGAATGAGACTGAGATCTGTTTGTTAATATGTATTAGGGTTTAAAAAACTGACCTACAATTATTGCAAGTAAGGAGATTTAACAGGAGATTAACCCCACTATATTCTACATCTGTGGTTAAACAGAGTACAATTTACACACCATGAGTGAAATGTACTCACATTTTTTATTCATGTTTACATCGTAAGCAAAATATTTAGTAAATATCATTTATTCATATGCTTTTTTTTTATTGTTGTAAGGAAAATTAGCATGAAATATTATGTGAAATAAAAAAAAAATTTATTCACGAATTATATTTTCAAACTGAATACTTTATAAATTACCAAATAACATTCAAAAATAAATTTGAAGTACACAAAACAATATAACAGAAATCATATTAAGGAAGAAGAAGAGTAAAGAAGTTTCTTTTGATCAACAGTCTTTTAGCATGGACAAAATGTTATAATGTCCCTCCTTTGCATGTTTTGACACAAACTGCAATATTTTCCTAATGCCATCTGAGAAAGATCTTGTGGGATTTCTTAGGTCACAGGAACATAGTTACTAATTGATTTTAACTATGTAATTTAACTTAATTTTAGGGAAGAAATTCATTGTATAACGAAACAATCATCTGTCTTTGCCACATTAGGTCCAATATTTTCTACAGCACCTTCGGTTGATTTATATACTAGGATTATATCAAATTCCTTGAAAAATTGAAATATAAAAAGATTTCAATATGCTTTACCAACCAAACTAGATCCAAATCAAGATTTTTCACGAGGCACAAAATACTTCATATCATAGTGATACATTTAGGATTTTTTCCTAACTTACCCTCTTTCAAAGTGTTCAGCACTTGCCAAAAGGGAATGTCCCAGCATAGTGCCAGTTGTAGGAGATAACTTTGTGAAATGTCTCAGAATATGGAATTTTGAACTTGTTTGGTTCTTGTAAGAAACCCCTCAATTATGTTTGTGTAATTCAATCTTTAATATTCCTATGTCATTGTTCTACAGACTGTTGTTCTACAGATGGAAGGCTACTCACCTTCTGAAACGTAAAGATGTTCATGTCCTGATGTAAACTGTGGAATTTATTTTATGCTGTCTAAAATAAAAGAGGATGAGTTTTATTTCTAAAATTAACATTAATATAAGTATGGGTTTTTTAGTATACTGCCTAAATTCAGAAACAATTTCATGGATTTTGAAGTGTGAGGGAAGCAGGTATATGAAATAAAGCAAACTGGATAATTTGTTAAGTCACTTTTCTATCTTTAGTGACACCTGTGTGACCCTCACCAAAAGGGGAAAGTTATTAATAATAAATATATAAATACAAATTAATAGTTAATTTTTATTTCAAAACTTCTATCTTTCCTTCAGTGAACAAAACTAGCTAACACCTACACCATACAGGATTTCCTCAAAATTGAACATTCCCCAATTGATTGGCTTGACATAGCCCAACAAATTGGAAATTTTTCTCTTAATTTTCAGAGTATTTTGCATGAAACCCCAGCAACATTTCAAAATGTTCATAATGTTGGGTCAACATTTTTTCTGAATAAATTTCATGGGTCAAAAATTTTATCTGAATACAGCAAAGTACCTTCTCCTAGAACAACACTATTCAACATAAACATTTTATTCTCAATTAAATCTATTCTTGAAAATTAAATCTTTAAAAGCCATTCGGCACAATTTTACAAGATAATTTTTTTAAGTTTCACACAAGTTTGAAAAAAATCAGGACTATTGAAAAAAAGCCTACACAGGATTTTCTCACAAATGGTTCTATATTTTGCTTTCTTTATCCACATGTCAGTCTCTGCCCATCCACCTGTCTGACTCTGTTTTTCTCTACCTGCCTGTTTGCTGGCTCTGTCTGCCTAGAGATAGATAAATAAATAGTCAAAATAAATATACTCAAAATATATATTTGAATAGATATGAAATGTAAGATATTTAAAATGTATCATTGTGGTTTAATACTAGATAGATTATCTAACAGAGCCTCTTCGATCTCTAATTGAAATAAGATGTCTTATGATTTTTATTTCTTTTAAAAATCTCCCAAAACAACTCTTCTACCAAAACCAATGTCTCCTTTAAGAAAATTCATTTTCCATTCTTGAAATTAAGATGTGTTAATTATTAATGTAATAATTCACTATTCAATATTATAATTTATTTGCCCCAATTCAAACAAAATGACAAAAAAAAAAAAACATTCCAAACATTCATTAGAAAGACTCTGAACAAACCTTACATACCATATAGCATACGTACATATTACATAACATTTCCGCAGAGAACGGATGTCAAGATATTTTCTTTCACAAATTGAATGATAACGGAATGGAATAATGGCCTGCAAAAATCTTTGAACCCTTTCCTCACGGCATTCAACAGTTTAGGACATTAATTGAGAGTATTACTAAGGAAATGAGGAACTTAACTAAGAATAGTAGGTTAAAGAGCGTTGCATAAGTGATATATTGCGAAGTGAGGTGTCATGCAGTGTAGAGCAGAGAAATAATGAAGGAAGTGATTTACGGGTCATGGTGAGGTGAAGTGAAGTGAAATGTAGAGCCAGTGCAGGGTGGTCTTAATGGAATGAACATTCAGTGCAAAGATAGATTACAGTTTATTTTTCTTAAGGTAATTTAATGTTTAATGTATCAGTCAGTTTTTATATTATTATTTTTAGTTTTATGAGCTGTTAATATTGTTACTATGATTATTATTTTATTATTGTTATTATTATATTATTATTATTATTATTTTAATTTAATATTATACAATTTGCATGTTAGTTATACTATGTTATTTATGTAATTAGCTGCCACCGGGTTATAACCAATTGCAGTTTAAATTAATTTATCTTATCTTATAATGCTTCAACACATTGGTAT